ATTCATCCTTACATCCACACAATAATGAGTTGGAATACAATAACCTAAGCATATATATAGATATAATATTATATATATATATATAATATATATATATAGATATATATATATATATATATGGTGTATTTCAAAATATTTTGAAAATACAAGGTTTAAATTTAAATATCTTAATTAACCTTTAATTAATTAATATTTTAAACCATTTTAGATTTAATATTTATCTTTTAATTAAACCATTAATTAAATATATTAAATCTTTTTAAGGATAAATCAATTACTTTAATAATCTTATAATTAAATAATTTTGTTTCCTTTTATATTACTTCCTTAATTTTCGAATTAGTGTTTTGTGATTATCTAGCATTAAGCTTTGAATTTTAATCAAATAAAACAATAATTAATGGCTAATAATTATCCTACAATTCAAAAAAGGCAAGTAAATCCTGAAACCCTATTGCATCCAAAAGCGCACCGCGCAACGCTACAGGCACGTCGCGCCCTACGATTAACATATTTCTTTGTATCCAGTTTCAGTTTCATAATATGAACTTATAATTGAAGATCCTAGGCTCTAATACCACTAATGGGTTTTCTAGGTTACAAGAAAAATATTTGCACAACAAATTTACACATAAACTCTCATTGGCACATGCAACCTACAAATTCTATGACATTTTCACTATTATAGCAACGTACTTTATGAAACAACTTCTAACCTACTGTAATCGAAATTACAAGGGTTAGAATCATACCTTTAGCAACAAACAAATGATGCTAGAAACCTTCTTGTAGATCTTCTTTGGAAAGACTAGCTCCAATAGTGTGGTTGCCTCTAATGTGTCACACCCAAAACCCTAGGATCGATATTTAGGAGAGATGGTAGAGTAGAAAATCCGATTTCTGTTTTATGAGAGGCTAGGGATCGATTTTTCTTATGGTTAGGACCCTTTATATAGTTGTTAGATAACCCTAAAATCATATATTTGAATATTAAAAATAATAGTATTTTAATCTAATTCAAATCAGTTTTCTTATCTGATTCGGATGGCCTTCAGAGCCCTTCCAAGGCTCCTCCAAAACCGTCAAATCCTAGGAAAGATCTAGAATTGTCTTCCTTGTTCAACTATTAAATAATTGCAATTCAATCATTATACTTTTGAATTAACCTAAAATTAATTCCAATTAATTATAATTAATTCTTAATTTCTTTCTCTCTCTCTCTCTCTCTCTCTCTCTCTCTCTCTCTCTTAATATCAATCCAAGTTATTTCCTCGTTATGATGGCAACCCAAAAATGGTTTTACTTTTATTCTTTAAAATTATACAAATTTAGTTAAAACCTTAGACACTTAATCCAACATATGGTTCATTAGCGGAAATGTTCAGTTTTACTTTTTTTTTGTTCATAAAAACCCTTAAGTTTGGTTTTTCGGCTCATTAAAGTGATTAAGTTTGATAGAAATATTAAGTTTTACCGGTAAATCTGTAAAAATGAGTAAAATTGAAAAAAGAAAATGCAAATATCCAACGTTAGTGAACCTAAAATATACAAAAATTGTAAATTCGTATATTTCTCCAAACATAAGGCTTTTATATCATTATCCCTTTATTTTTTAGTCAATTTTTCTATTAAATCGCTTTTCGAATTATTTTAAAACAGAAAGAATAGTAGTTACCAAAGAAGAAAAAATATATAAATAAAGGGAAATCTCCAATAAAGTCCTAAAATTTTGGCCCGGTTTACGTTTTAGTCCTAAACTAATTTTTGTTTACGAAAAAGTCCTAAAAACCAGTAAAAGCTTGCATTTTGACCCATTCTGACCGGTTGGAACCGGTAACAAATTAATTTTGGGACTATTTCATAAACTGACCCAAAATATTGGGACTTCTCCGCAAAAAAAAATATTAGGACTTTCTTACAAACAAAAACTTTATTATTATTATTATTATTATTATTATTATTATTATTATTAATAGGGTTTTTCTGCAAACAAAAACCTTATTATTATTATTATTATTATTATTATTATTATTATTATTATTAGAACAAATTACTGAAATCGTCCCTGTGGTTTGGTCAAAATTGCGTGTTTTGTCCCTAACTTTTTTTTTTGCACTCGGACCATCCCTAACATATCATATTCTTGCGTTTTTCGTCCCTAACATATCATGTTTTTGCGTTTTTTTGTCTTTTGTAAAGATAAAAAGACTATATTGCCTTGTGTATTTTCTTTTTCAGTTTTTTGTTACTTATTCTTATTGATTAATTAAAAATAAATGAATTATAAGTAATTTATAAAAAAGTGGGTCCACCTACTCCACCCCCCCCCTCGGTCTCCCTTCCCATCCACTGCCACCATCCACCTCCGACAACCATTCCGACAGCACCTACTTTCAAACATGGTTCATCTCTGACAACCACCACAATTTACACAAAATCAAAAGAAATTAAACCAAAATCAAGCACCAGAACAACTACAAGTCTACCACACCCACCACTCTTTACAAAATCAAAACCAAACAAAATCAGAAATCAATGTATACATAATCAAAGCCTACAATTAACACTAAACCGAAACCACATATCAAAACTAAATTCAAAGCTCATAACCAAACCAAAAAAAGATAAAACCAAACTTGTAATCAAATCTCAAAATTAAACATAAAATGGGGGTTTGTATCTTGGTACAAACTACAAAATCAAACTTGAATCAAAATCAAACATGGAAACTGATGATGAGAAGCATGGTTCTGGTAAAAATTATCTTCATCAGGCACCAAACTTGATGAAATCTTGAAACACTCAGTCACCATCAAGAAAAGAAAAATGAGGTTGGTAAAACTTATCTCCATCTCCACACATCAATGATCGATAATAGATCTGAAACTAGACATCGGTGGGAAAATCAAACGAAGGCGATGGTCTCGGCTACGATTCCAGATTATCAAGGAGAGGGGCAGAAGAAGGAGAGGTGATGGTCTTTCAGGGGAATCCAATGATCTTTGAGGATCCAGAGTAGAGAGGGAAGAGTGAAGAGAGAGAGAGAGAGAGAGAGAGAGAGAGATGAGAAGTAGATGGTGGTCCATGGGTTTTCAGTGGGTTCTGGCGGGCGGCGGCTAGCTCTTCGACACAGTGCTCCACCTGTGACAGTGGAACGAAACACTCGCCAAGGCGATGATGGTTGAGTGATTTAGGTTCGAAAACGGAGGTGCTTCCCGCGTTTGATGTATCCCAGATGATGGCAGCGGTGGTGTAGATCTAGGGTTCCGGCGAAAGCTCCGATTATGGAGAGGAACGAGGGATGATTTTCAGTGAAAGGGGAATGACGAGTCTAGGGTAGGAACTTAGAGGAGATGAAAGAGTTTAGTGGGCCCCACATGTTTTATCAGTTTTTTTAATAATATAAATAATAAAAAAAACTTAAAAATAAAAAAACAAAGGGTAATATAGTTTTTTTAAATGTGTTAGGGACGAAAACGTAACCAAATCATATTACAAGGACGGTGCGAGTGCAAAAAAAAAGTTAGGGACCAAACACGCAATTTTGACCAAACCACAGGGACGATTTCAGTAATTTGTTATTATTATTATTATTATTTTATTAAAAATATAAATAAGTATACTACTTTTGAAATTTAAATGAAAAAAAATATTAAAGACATTGTTTAAGGGTGAAGGTGGAGCGGATGGTAATTCTTTAAATATTGAAATCATGAATGTTTGTTTGTAGATTCTAACTTTGTATATGGTCATTCCACGTTTGTTATTATTGTTTTTAATTCAAAATATTAACACTTAACAATTTAAAAGAAGTTATCGATTTTTCAAATTGTTAAATAAATAGTGAATGTGTGCTATGCGTGCATGTCTTATGTGTAAGTATTTGAATTACCAACATGTGTGTTGCTCTTTTTCATTATTTTATTCATGTGGTTTTATTGGAAAAATAGCAAATATAATGTGATAAAGCAAAACAAGTCATATTAATTTATATTAAATAAGATATTGTAATTAATACTTTTGAAATTTGATATTGGCAACCAATGTAAATGTTTATACTTAATCTGTTGGATTTGAAAAGAAATCTTTCTACCTTAAAAAAATTTATATACAAAGTGAAAAATTCTTTTATCTTAAACTATTTATAAACAATTTTACAAATAGGCAACTTATTTTCAATTGTTAAGTGTTAATATTCTGAATTGAAAACAATAATAAAAAATGTGAAAGCATATAGTTATGATTTCAATGCTTAAAACATTACCATCACCACCACTTTCACCTTTAAAAAATTTATTTAATATTTTTTTGAAGTGTATTTATATGTATTATTAAAAATATTAATAATAACGAATTTAAAAATTAGTACACTTGTTTATATTTTTAATATAATAATAATAATAATAATAATAATAATAAAGTTTTTGTTTGTAGGAAAGTCCTAATATTTTTTTTTTGCGGAGAAGTCCCAATATTTTGGGTCAGTTTATGAAATGGTCCCAAATTAATTTGTTACCGGTTCCAACCGGTCAAAAAGAGTAAAAATGCAAGTTTTTGCCGGTTTTTAGGACTTTTTCGTAAACAAAAATTAGTTTATGACTAAAACGTAAAACAGACCAAAATTTTAGGATTTTATCGGAGATTTTCCTATAAATAAATACAAAATATTGTATTCCTATATGTTTAAAGCTAAAGTTCTATATAACACAACGTTCAATAAAATATTTTTAATTAAATCGAACCCCACAAAATATAACAATCTCTAAATTAATCTACATTCCTTCCCTCTTTAAAAAGCACTATAATCGATCATCTTCTCCAACCAAACCACCTTCATTTTTTCACCCACCGTCACACGGCGGAGCGTTGGTGCAGAAAATAAACAAAAACATCCATTAAAAAGATTATTCAACTCAATGACACATTCAACACTAATTTCCCAATCAACAACGCCCACGATCATCATCATCATCATAATGGTCCACTAGCTGCTTTGCACCATGATCAAACCAAACCAAACCAAACCACCTCCTCCCTCCATCTTCATCGATACTCTCATTCACATTCCTCCACCACCATCATCGTCATCAGTGCCACGCACGCCCAGCACCAAACAGACAAACCCAAATCCCCACAGAACCACCAGCCAGTAAGAACACACCAGATATATATACATACATACATACAAACATTATTATATATAGAGAGAGAGAAATTATCGAATTAAGGTCTGTATTTTATGTAACAAACCCATAATTTCGTCCAAAAAAATGGTGTATTCACTCTCTTCTACCACTTTCATGTATTCTGTATGTACTGCTAAATGCCATCTCTCTCCGGAAATATCCATGTCTGTGTCTATTAACCCTTGATTCCTTATGAGACCACCATTTTTGCCTATATCATCATCAACCCATCATCACCCCTTCAACTTTTTCAATTCTTTTCTCAGTTTCCGGTGGGTTCATTGCGTCCGTATGGAACCCGCTACCGCCACCGTTTTATCGCCCAACACTCGTCGCCGCCACCGGAAAATAGTCGTCATCATGGGTCCAACAGGGGCTGGGAAGTCTCGTCTCTCTATCGACCTCGCAACTCGATTCTTTAAAAACTCAGAGATTATAAACTCGGATAAAATGCAGGTCTATCGTCGACTTGATATCACCACTAACAAAATCACAAAGCAAGAACAGCACGGCGTCCGCCACCATCTCCTCGGAGCGTTTGACCCAACTCAATCGGTTGTGAACCCACACGATTTCCGGAAAATCGCATCGGATGCCATCTCCGACATTATATCCCGCCGTGGGTTGCCGCTTATCGTCGGAGGTTCAAACTCATTCATCTACTCACTCGTTACAAAACGATTCGACCCGAAATCGGATGTCTTCAACGGACCAAACCCAGACCCCGTCAGCTCAGAGCTCCGATATAAATGTTGTTTCATTTGGGTGGATGTCTGCTTACCGGTTTTAAACCAGTATTTATGCAAACGGGTGGATGAGATGCTGGATTCGGGTATGTTGGAGGAGCTCTCGGAGTTTTTCAGTTCCGGCGAACATTTAAAGGTGAGGCGGAGCGGGTTGGGGCAGGCGATCGGAGTTCCCGAGCTGGAAGCGTATTTCCGTACCGGTAATGGAACGGAGTCCGATGCGGTGTATAGTGAGGGAGTGAGGAGGATAAAGGACAATACGTGTCAGCTAGCGAAGAGACAAGTGGGTAAGATCCTACGGCTGAAGGACGGCGGGTGGGATTTAAAGAGAATTGACGCAACAGAGGCGTTCATGGCGGTATTGACGGCGGATTCAGGCGGAGGAAGGGTGGCGGAAATATGGGAGAAGCAAGTGGTGGAAACAAGCGTAAAGATCGTGAAGCAATTCTTGGAGGAGTAGGTTCTCCAGCTATTTCCAGCTCCCTCCCTTTTGTTTTTTTTTTGGTTTTTCTTTCCTCTTTTGTGTATGAATGTTTATTTAATTTTTAGATTGTAAAAGGTTTTTTTCAACTTTTTTTGGATAATTTGTTGGGTTGGATAGAATATCAATATGATGACTTATGAGAGCTTGTGCAACCAATTTTGAAGCAATGGGAGTATGTGTGAATGTATAGACAATTTCTTTGGGAGTATGTGTAAATTTATAACAATTTCTTCGTATTTTCTTTCATAGGCATTTCAAAATAAGAAACAAAAAGAAAAATAATGAAAATATGACAATGCACCGATGTTGTTGTATGAGACTATGGGACTCACGAGTGTACCTCGTGACATCCGTTGATAAAAATATAGTGACGAGTGTACCTTGCGACTTATGTTGATAAAAAATAACGATAAATATATAAGTGATCTAAGAGTTTAAGTTTATAAATATAACTAATCACAGTTTAAATTAAAAAAAAAACTCATAATATGGATAACTTGGCAAAATAATCAATAACTCTGGAATCGTTCAAACTATATCATTATAAAAAATAATGATAAATATATAAGTGATCTAAGAGTTTAAGTTTATAAATATAACTATCATAACACTTGAGTGATCCCCTCTATTTATTTCAAACTATATCATTATGAAAAAATGATAGTCATCGTGAAGATAATGTGACTTTACGGGTATGTTTTTGCTTCTTTTACTTGTTTCTTTCATTTTTAGGATAGTAGAAGCTAAAAAAACTCTATTATGCAATGTGATAACGTATCCAAAATATGAAGATTAAGTCTAATATGTCTCCTTCTTCGAATCAGAATTCGTAGAATTCAATTATTAGTCATTAGTTAGCATTAGATAGAACTACAAATAAGGTATTATTATGCCTTGTCGCCTTGTCCCTTATATTTAGCCCACCAACATGAATGTTAATCTCTAATCTGGAATATGAAGAATATTTCAAAATACTGAGAACACTTCGGAACATGATGAACTGTCTGGAATGTCGTACTCAAGAATAATGTCACATAATATTGTTTTATTATAAACTAATTTAGGTGGCTTTTATTACATCATGAGAGTGTGTACGGATCTTCTTTGGCCATCTTATGCTAATCTAAACTTAGTGCGATTATTCTTGGTAAGCTACAACATCGCGATTATTCTTGGTAAGCTACAACATCGGTTAGCATGTGAGGCTTTTTTCTATACTCGTTTTTTGGTAGGTGGTTGGATATTCCAAGCGACATGGAAGGATGTACCATCCTCAAAATGTCCCTAGAAGTGTTTACCATTTTAGTGAAAAATAAAATTTTAAGAAAAAAATATAAATAATAATAATTAAAAGTTAATAACTATAAGGATATAAATAAATTAGAAATTTAATAGAGTCGAATTGAGAAAATTATGTTAGAAAGACCAAATTTGTCAATTCTTGGAAGTTGAGATTTGACTCTTGTTGACCTTATAGGACTTAATGTCATAAATTAGATGAGAAAGATTAGTTATGAAAGTTATGAGGTCTCTAGTTCCAAGTCAAAGTCGTGGTTATAAGTGGAAGACATAAACTATGAGACCCTTTATTCCATAAATTGAAACTCTTATAGATTATATCTCTCCATGACCTCTTTCTCCCACATTCATAATTTCAGTCATGGTTCTAAAACCTTGTCATGGTTTCGTCATAGTGCGTCATGGATCCAAGGCTTGTACCTGACACCACACTTTAAGAAACATCATCTTAAGTCATATATGCCTGTAAAAATGAATAATAGTAGAGAAAATATATACAATATAAAAAATTGACGTCTTAAGTCATACTATAACAAACATCGTGGCTCGCCATGGCTCATAAAACTTAAGGTTTGACATTGTCGTCACGCCACACTTCACCTTATTTGGAACCTTGATTTCAACCATGAGAAGGCTTTCTCGATGGCGATTCTTCACATCCATGGAAGATTTGAGCCCTTTAATGATATTCATGAAGATCCAAGAATCTCCTAGTGATTTAAGGTGGTTTTCTTCCCCTAGTCTCTTTATTCCATTATCTGGGGGTTTACGGGATTGCTTCAGTTCCAAATTGTAAGTCTGAATTTTGTGTTTGAATAAGTTTCTAGTAGTGATTCTCTTTTATAATCATTGACTTCTTCCATAGTTGTTTGATTTAGGTTTTTATGGAGTTTGTGGTCGGGGTTTCCTAACCCTAGATTCTTAATTTTGGGATTCTACGTTTATTGGTGAGATTCAAGTTTAAAAGTTGATTTTTGAGTTTAAATTTAATCTAAACATCACATTATGGGTTAATCATGGATTGAAGTATTTTAGAATGGTTGTAAATGTTTCTAATTTATTTTGTATCAACATGGATACAAAATTGAGGTGAAAATATAAGTTACTGGCAATTTTGGAGTTTTAAAGCATAAAAATGGGGAGCCAAAAATGTTACTTTAATCCATGATCCAATGATGTTAGGATTGATATGTGAGCGTTAAGACATGTGTAATGAAGTTATTAAATTATATCAATCATCTAAACTAGTTTAAGATGGTATTAGAAGGGTTAGAATTCTATTTTACAAAGTAGGTTGATATTTTCTACAAAATTGTGTGTTGTTAGCAAACACATAGGATGGGTGTTTTTGCCCTATAAACCATACGAGCCATCTGGTCTAATGAATCACTTTCACAAGGATGTAATAAATTAATCTTAGGGATTTAGGAAAGCAATGCTTCGAAGTATCATATATAACTATAATATTAAGATTTAAGGGTTTGGAATGGCTACTTAATTATATGAGCTTAATGATCATTAGTATAAGTCAATTAGTATGAATTATATAAATAAAGTAAGATTATTAAGTTATTTTAAACTTCTTATATATCTTATAAGAATTGGTTGAAGGAAATCCATACTTGATGATGCTTCATAGTCACGGTTGCACTTGGAGAGGCTTAATGGAGTTTAGATCATATTTTGGCTAAAGTGAGTTTACCGGGGGAACACATCAATACATTAATTTATTGTTTTGGTTTTCCTGTATCGTGTTATAATATATAAACCTTTCTTGCAATGTGAATTATATAAGTCTTGTTTTGATTCATGAAACTAATTCTAAATATTTGATTAATAAAATCTAATTGCTTATTTAGAAAATGTTTGAAGTATCCTAGTTGTTGCATACATGCTAGATAAGTTAGATTTGAGATCCTAAGTACCCAAATTTGATAATATTTTTTGTGAATAGATTTCTAGATAATCCTCACATTGCACAAGAGTAGCTACGTACCCCTTATATAAGCTAGAGTTGATGGTTCTCTAGTTCTTTTTGGATCTTAGACAAAAGACGGTAGTAACAATTCCCTTGTGATCATGCATCATATATATATATATATATATTATATAGATATATATATATATATATATATATATATATATATATATATACATGCTAGATAGGTTAGCTTTGAGATCCTGATTACCCAAATTTGACATTATTTGTTGTGAATAGATTTCTACATCATCTTTACATTGCAATATATATATATATATATATATATATATATATATATATATATATATATATATATATGGCTTTACATTTATTTGTTAAAACGACTATTAGGCTAAAAAATTAGCGTCTAAAAAATTGTGTTGTTTTCTAAGCTGATTAACATACTTGGAAAGTACTAATTAACGTGATCTCAAGAATATAAGATTCGTAAAAATCTGAATCCAAAGGAAAGAGTTATGGATTTTATAAAATAGAAATCAACCACGTAATTAAAATTAATTACGTCAAAACGGTACATACAGATTGGTTGATTTTTGACTCAAAGTGCAAAAAAGAGATTTGTAGTACTCCTTAAGAAATAAACTTTAGGACAAAGAATGACGAAAACGGGATCCGTATGAAAGAGATGATTTTTATAAAATTATTTATTTTTACCCCCGTTAGGCACAAAAATGAAAGTCAAAACTAGCTAAAGAAACCTAAAGGAGAGTTGTAGTATCCATTGATATCATCACATAGATATAAATAGAGCTTAGATCGGAGCTCGCACGAAGAAGTTATGATTTTTGCAAAATCTTTCCGTGCGCGCCTATACCCATCGCGCACCTGACACCGGATTCGAGCAGATTGTGAGTGACGTGACCAATTTGGGAAGTGACATGTGGCCTTCTATGGATGGAGCCACGATGATCATGCGCGACGTGCACAAATATTTACGCCTCGCGCACCCCAAATCCATGACTATATATAGAAGGCTTTGCAGATCACTTCTGCACACTTTCATTACTCACTCTCTCTACAATCTCGAAGTCGTTGCTCTTAGGAGCGGTCCCCGGAGTCCCGAGCCCGATTCAACCCTACACCAACGGTCTCACACGACTAGGGTGAGTTCACGACCCCTATTTCACTATTTTAAATATTTTACAAGGGGAATACATGTTTATCAAAATGCTTTATCAAAATATATTTATATCCATAAATATCAAACGTTTTATAAAGCTTAAAATCATATGATAATGTAGCTATAGATACTATACCTAGTTGTAAGCTATCATATTATGCCTAAGAGTTATGATGTCTGATAGTCTAGGAAGAGATAATACTTAGAGGTTATAATGGTCAAATCCCTAGGATAACATAGTACCTAGAAGTAATGTTGGTCAAATATAGAGATATGCACCGTACCTAATCGTTACTCTGCCCAAATATCTTGTTTTCAAAATAACTATAATTAGGATATATATAGATATGTATCGCAATAATATATATATATATATATATATATATATATATATATATATACACAAAATAATTATGAGATCTAAAAGATATAATTATCAAATATAAAATTAAAGGGGGTTATATTATGATAATTATACGAAATCACTAAGATTAGAGATAAAAGATAAAATACCTAAGGTTAATGTGTTAGTGAGATATTAATATTCATCCTTAG